GGCCCAGGAGGCGAACGCTGGCGGCCGGCGACGTGCGCAGCCCGGGGTTCCCGTGCCGCCTCCCAGGATCCAGCTTCTCCCTCCGCCATGGGGAAAGGGCTGGCCCGGCTGGAGAGGCCGCCCTCCACCTCCCCTTGCAGGGACCTTGCGGTGTGGGCCACCGGTGGCTGTCAGAGAAGCTCCCGCCTCTGGCTGAGGCGACCTCTCACGCCCTGGAGCCCTTGGAGGCCCACGAACAGCCCCAGACGTCCCTCCAGAAGAGCTCTGGGTGAAGGCGGCTGTGTCGTCAGGGAATGTGGAGCGAGCCAGGCTGTGTGCTCAAGGCCAAAGGAGTGTCCTGGGCTAAGACCAGGGACAGCAGAGCGAAGGGCAACTGGATACCCCATGCTCCTGGGTTTGGGTGGGCCAGGTGTCTGGTGGACAGAGGCTTCAGTGGAGCCAGAAGCGAGAAGGCACCCAAAGGGTTTCAAACGGTCAAAGGACCAACAAAAGGCTGGGTGCCGTGGCTTATACCTGTCATCCCAACACTTAGGGAGGCCAAGGGGAGAGGATCACTTGAGCCTAGGAGTTGGAGACCAGCCTGGGCAACATAGCGAGACCACATCTCTCCAAAAACTAGAAAAACTAGCCGGGTGTGGTGGCACATGCCTGCAGCCTCAGCTACTTGAGAGGCTGTGGCAAAAGGATCTCCTGAGCCCAGGAGGTCAAGGCTGCGGTCAGTCGTGACTGAGCCACCGCACTCCAGCCTGGCGACAGAGTGAGACTCCAACTCAAAAAAGAAAAAAATCAACAAATACTTCCAGAGCCTCTGCTATGTACCAGGCTGAGGCTGGGACGAATGTGCTCCCTGTTGCCTTAGGGGTCACACGCAGGCAATGCTCCTTTAATTAGTCTGGTGTCAGTGACTTAATAAGCCCTTTATGCCCACTCTGTGCCAGGCTCTGTTCTTAAGTCTCTTCTAATTATGGTAGCATACACATAATATAAAATTGACCGCTGTAGCCATTTAAAAAAAAATGGAGTTGGAATCTCACTCTGTCACCCAGGCTGGAGCGCAGTGGCACGCTCATGGCCACTGCAGCCTTGCCTTGCTGGGTTCAGGCGATCCTTCCGCCTCAGCCTTCCAAGTATCTGGAACCACAGGCATGTGCCACCATATCCGGGTGATTTTTAAAAAATTTATTGTAGAGGTGAGGTCACGTCATGTTGCCCAAGCTGTTCTCCAACCCGTGGGCTCAGATAATCCTCTCGCCTGTGCCTCCCAAAGTCCTGAGATTGTAAGTGTGCACCATCAGGTCTAGCCTTTGTAGCCACCTTTTTTTTTCTTTTTTTTTTTTTTTGTTGCCCAGGCTGGAGTGCGGTGGCACACTCATGGCCACCCCAGCATCAACCTGCTGGCCTCAGCGATCCTTCCACCTCATCCTTCCTAGTAGCTGGAACTACAGGCACGCACTACCACCACCAGCTAATTTTTGATTTATTGTAGAGATGAGGTCTCGCAAAGTTGCCCCAGCTGGTCTCGAACCCTCGGGCTCAGGCTGTCCACTCACCTTGGCCTCCCAAAATGCTGGGATTACAGTCTGAGCCACCAAGCCCACCCTGTAGCCACTTTTAAGTGCATAGCTCAGTGACATTAAGCACATTCACATTGTCGTGCAGCCATCACCACCATCATCTCCAGAACTTTCTCCTCTTCCCAGATAGAAACTCAGTCCCCGTGAAACACTAACTCCCCAATCCCCTACCCAGCCCTGACACCCCCCATGCTCCTTTCTATCTCTATGAATGTGATTTCCCTAAGGACGGCCTAGGAGTGGAATCAAACAGGATTTGCCCATGTCTGCCTTGTCTCACTGAGCATAACATCCTCAAGATTCATCCATGGCCAGGCGTGGTGGCTCACGCCTACAATGCCAGCACTTTGGGAAGCCGAGGGGAGAGGATTGCCTGAGCCCATGGGTTCAAGACCAGCCTGGGCAACTTGGCGAGACTTCATCTCTACAATAATTCAAAAAATTAGCTGGGCGTGGTGACGTGTACCTGTAGTTCCAGCTACTTGGAAAGGTTGAGGTGGAAGGATCACCTGAGCCCGGTAGGTCACGGCTGCAGTGGCCGTGAGTGTGCCACTGCACTCCAGTATGGACGACAGAGTGAGAGTCTCCAACTCAAAAAAAAAAAAAGTTGCATCCATGCTGTAACCTGTGTCAGAATTCTCTTCCTTTTTGTGACTGAATCATATTCCACTGTGTGCATGGACCACATGTGTTTATCTACCCATCCAGCTGTGGACACTTGGGTTGCTTCTGCTTTTTGGTTATTGTGAATCAAACGGCTGTGCAAATATCTGTTGGAGTCCTGGCTTTCGATGCTTTGGGGTATATCTCCAGGAGCGGAATTGCTGGATCAAGTGGCAATTCTGTGTTTACTTCTGTTAGGAACCATGTTAGATTTTTCACACATCATTATTTGGTACTTGCAGCAACCTTAGGAGGTAGGGGCGTAATATTCCAGCCCTGTTATATATGGAACAGAATTTAAGTGACTTACCTATTTCAGTGTGTATCTGTAAGATACAAAGACTTTTTTGTTTTTTTTAATCTTTTTTTTTTTTTGAGTTGGAGTTCTCACCCTGTTGCCCAGGCTGGAGTGCAGTGGTATGCTCACGGCCACTGCATCCTCGACTTGCTGGGCTTAGGCGATCCTTTAGAGTCAACCTTCCAAGTGGGTGGAACTACAGGCCTGCATCACCATGCCCAGCTAAATTTTTGATTTATTGTAGGGATGAGGTCTCACCAAGTTGCCCAGGCTGGTCTCAAACCCGCGGACTCAGGCAATCCTCTTATCTCGGCCTCCCAAAGTGCTGGGATTGTAGGTGTGAGACAACACGCCTCTTTTTTTTTTTTTTTTGAGTTAGAGTCTCACTCTGTCGCCCAGACTGGA